AGATAGGAAGGGATGAGTTGTTTGATCTTCATCCGTACTACGCGTACTACATTGTAGATGCCGGGAAAATAATTCTTGCACATTTCCCTGCTGATGGAAAGAATAGTATCGTATGGTCGCATACTTTCTATAATCACCGTGCTAGGTGTTTTCGGAGGGAGATCATGGATTCTCACGTTAACGGCTTCGTCTTCCACGAGCACGGGAATTTTGTAAGCTTTTTTTCTCGCACTGCAAAGTGTGTTGTAGATGGTGTGATGCCAAGTAGCGCTTGGCTGTTGCTGAATCTACCATCTCGACGTAGATACAGTTTCTAAAACGCTGTACAGACTGGAGAGTTATAACAACAATCAATACGAAACTAACGATTTTAAATTGGCTCACTACTTGACTAGCCTATTGGTCCCAAGCAAACGATTAACGTACCCCATTGTAGTCGAAATTCTAGTACTACGCAATGTTTGTTTTGATTCGCTATGAAAGTTTGACAGATAAAATGAGGGGTTATTGGTTTTTCCTATATTTCGAGGGGTGAATCGATTAGCTTGGGACCGAAGAGAGTACCAGAGCTGAGCCAAAAAGTTGAGCACGTTATTTCGGGACCTTCTAGTCTTAGAGTTACCTCTATGGTTATAACATGTTATAACGGTTGTCAAATAATTGCAACACAGAAACCACCATCAAGATAGCGCTATAACATGTTATAATTCTGTAGTCTGAACGTACTATAATGCCTTGTTCAGACTACAGAGTTATAACATGTTATAGCGCTATCTTGATGGTGGTTTCTGTGTTGCAATTAGTTGACAACCGTTATAACACGTTATAACTCTCCAGTCTGGACAGCGTTTAACATTGTGAAACTGGATGTTTAAGGCGTCCGCTATGTCCAGTTTCAACTCACCGTGCATGAATTTCTGTATGGCAGATGCATCTGGTCGCTTCGGCAGCACACTAAAGTCTACTACCAAGGTGTTCTCCCGTTTAGCACCCATATGATAGAAAACTCATTAGCTTGTAACCTGATAACGAGACGGATAAAAGAAACACGTCTTTCACGCACGGGGCTTAGCTGTCAACTGAATGACAGTTCTTACAGCAAACAAAAAAAAATTCTCACAGTTAACAAAAAAAATTATCTCACTAACACTTTTAGAGATGAACTAGCCTAAGGCTAAAAATCTCTTAAATAAAGAATTTAAAAAAAAAAAAAATCTCACTAACACACGCAAATCGCACCAATACGAACCCGCCTGGAGAGGACTATGAAAGGAAGATTGTTGCGCTTCCAGTGAAAGTTTTAACAAAGATGAATACTAAGATGAAACTGTCGGAAGAAAAACTTTCTATTTTAGTGTCCTCTTTCACGGTCCCTTTCATCCAATGAATACCCCCCGTATTCAAGGTAACTTTGTGGTTTTGCTGCCCCCTCGGTAGAGATGAAATTTTGCGCTCTTTTTTATCAATACAATCACACAAAATCAGTGATGTCCCATTTTTTAATTACTCGATTAACAACTAATCGATTATTTTTTTGTTCGCTGTGCTGCCATTTTTCCACCAATGAGACTGCAGTACATGTTTGAAACGATGGGTGATGATCCTGTGGAGAAGTTAATGCTTATGTCGGCATGATATAACCGATTACAAATATTTTACTTTTCGATTCGTTAATCGATTAATCGATTATTCGAATGAAAATCGGCCATCACTATATGAATGTGAAACGTCATTTCAAATATAAGGATCGTACATAAATAATGATACGATTTGAAAGGGACCAGGGCTAATCACAAATTACGTCCCCACGGTAACTGAAATAAACACGACCCGCATAGAAAAATACCATTTCTAGAACAGTTCAAACTTCACTGACACCTTACTAGCTATGTTAACTTTTCACAAAATAGTTTTGTTATGGTTTATGGAATGTAATAAACATTAAAGAAACACTACTTTCAACTGTTACAGTTTCTGGTATGTTTCAGCTAAATTTTGTTACGGTTGATCAACTATACTGAACTGTTACAAAACATTACGAATAAAAGTTGTAAACAACTTGTACAACGCTTACGTGTTTCGATTATGGTTGCTTTATGTTTTTACAATTTGTACAAACAGAAGAAAACGCTTTTGATTGAAACGGTGCTCGTGAGTTCATTGTGTTGTTTTGTTCGTTATTTTATTTTTAAAACCCTTGGTAATATTAGCTTAAAGCATAAAATATTTCTTAAAAGCGCATGCATTTTCTACACAAATATTCAGGGCTAACAGCGGTTTACATGTGAAGGAGATTTCGATGTTGGTGGCTCACATCATCCAAAAAGGAAATCGAAGCAGGTACGTTATGCCGGGGCCTTTTTATCTTCCAGAAATGGAATGGAGTTTGTTTTGCAGGGCAAATTCATTTATCTATTCATTTTATATTAGATCAATAAACATGTTACCAAGAGCAAGGGAGGTGTCCACAAAAAGAAATCTTGTAAATCACATTAAAATTAAAGAACAACCCATGATGGCTGTATTCCGGATAAGCTACGACAGTATTTATTATAACGTCAATAAGTATAGTAATTTATACCATTTCATAGTATATCATGAAGTTAACAACAATGGTTGGTTCTAAACCGTACTACCTTATTCGAAAGTTAATGGAAATAGTTTCACATATCCAACTAGAACCTTTTCTGATGTGGTAAGGCTATAGTTGTTTTGCTAAAAATGTATGAGAAAAAGCGAGATTTCGTATGGTGAACGTTCTTAACCACCCATTGTTCATATGGTTGGGTCTTCGAAAACCTTAATCAATATGGTCAAAACTTTATCTAGGTATGGTTTGATTAAAGTTGACTGAACCTTTCTCATTATGGTTTTCAGAGGAAGATAAACCATTTTTAATGTGGTAATCGTATGGTTGTGATTTATGCGGGGAGTGTTCACCGGTTGGTTTTAATGCTCAAAATATCTCGCAAAATATATAAATCTGATGCAAAAAAATCTGGAACTGTTATCATGGCGAATGCTACTAGCAGATATAGTTATAGCGAATTCGTTTATTATTCAGTTCCAACCTGGATCGTGTATCAAGATTGGGTCTGCTTGTTTTCTGACAAACGTCAGTTTGTTCGTTTGTTTTTAAAACCTAGCTCAGGTTTGGGTTCGCACTGACAAAAAGTTCGGTTTCGCACTGGGTTGGAACTGGTTCCAACCCCGATAATAAACGAATTCGCTATTAGTAAGTCGCACTACTACACGCAGAAAAAAGTTTTTTAATTTCAATGATATTATGTATTAAAAACAACAACAAAAATTATCATTCCCCGGCTAATAACTTTTTTTATTGAATTCAACAATAAATCTTTATTGTTCGGACATAAAATATTGTTGTTTTCAAAATCTGTCAAAAACGCAATTAAAATATATTTTGTTGAATTTACAATATTTATTTTCAAACAGACAAAATCTTTTTTTGATAAAAAAAATAAGTTGCTACCAACAATAACTTTTTTTTATTCAAAAAAAAAAATGCTGCAAATAACAAATTGTTTTTAATAATTTAAAAATAAAATTGGTTTGGCATAAATATTTTAATTTTTAATTTTAGCAGTTTTTCTATTCGAGAAATAATTTTCAATAAATTTAAAAATTGTTTTTGGTTTCATTTTCTATTTATTAACAAACGGTACAAATAGTGATTAAATAGGTTTATCAATTATACAAAAAATACCGAAATTATGACCTCTCATTAACGGTATGTAAATTAATAGTTTGCGTTTCGAAACGGGCAACGTTTCCACGGTGTATTGATTTGCTGGAATTGGGGAAAAAATCGTTAAAACACGTATTAAAATGCAAATACTGAATTCCTTACAAAGAAAGCAACTTGTTCAAAAAGAACTTCTTCCAACGAGACTGGGAAGCCGAGCATGCACAGGCATTGAAAACACACACATACATTGACAAAATTAGCCTGTGTATGTTTTGGAAAAGTGTTGCTTTTAAATTTACAATATATTTTTTAAAAGTAGTTAAAATAATATTTGAAGACAAAAATATATTTTATTGAATCTACAATATATTTGTTTTCAGAATTTGCAATGAAAACAATAAAAAACATTTTTGAAGCTACAAAATATAAATATTGAATTCAAAAAAAGTTATATTGACATTGCAAAATATTTCAATAATATTTTTTTTTTTGGTTCAATAAGGTCAATTTTCTCTGCGTAGCAGATATAGTTTCTGTCGCAGGTACGTTTACCCAGATTTGGGTAAATACAAGTTTACCCATTTTTGGGTAGGTTCAGTTTTGACCGATCTGGGTGGATTCTACCCAAATTTGGGTAGTTTTGAAATAGCGTGCAGGCTTCCCAGTATTTGAACAAGTCATTACTAGAGTTGGTGTATAATGAGTCACGCCAAGAGAAAAACAGTTGAACTCGCATCACGGTTTTCGAAAGATTCCCTTTATTTTCACTTGGCAACAAAGGACTTTTACATCAACTTCAAATGACTTCTAGCGAGAAAAAAAAAATAGCGGCTGTAGTAAATCACTATATTAGTGATTTTGTCAAATTATCTTAACAAAAAATAGTAGAAATTCTCATTACTGATCATTACCAAACGTATCCCATGACAATTCAATGCTCACTGCGTGTTTATGATCATTTCTTCGATTATATTTTATATTTTATTGCAATACCTTTCGTGGACCTTTCATAGCATCGTAATGTTTGTTTACTTTGCACGATAGGTAGCCGGTTTGACAGTTCATTAGGTAGACTTGGCTTCACTCTTGGCGTGACTCATTATACACCGACTCTAGTCATTACTTTTTTGCTGCGTAGCAAAATGACGATTCAAGAACACCTGAAATAGTCAACTCATCTTGACCGACGCGACGTTTCTTTCGTAACGCGTGATGGATTTGTGTCAGAACTGTTTATAGTGTTAGTGCGTCGTTCGATTTGAGTAGTGTGGAGATCTTCAAAAAAAAGCAGTAAGTTCTCCAAACGCATCGCATTCGCATCATCTATAAATTCAGGAAAGCTTCACGTCGATCCCGCTTTTTGCCGTATAGCTGTATTCCACCGGTGCCGGAAGATTGCATATTTTGGAATTAAAACCACTCTTGGGTGAAACATGGTAGCGCCAAAAAAGTCATTCAATGTTGGTGATTTAGTGTTCGCCAAAGTAAAAGGTTATCCGCCCTGGCCAGCGAAGGTAAGCTCGTAACGACCTGGCTTCGTCTTTCTTATTTCTAAATTTGTACTTATTTTAGATCATAAAAATCGAAAAAAAGAAATACAATGTGTACTTCTACGGAACAGGAGAAACGTAAGTAACTCTCTGGTAACCATGGTACCTTCTAGATACCGAAAAAATTGAAATTTGACGCCATAATCTGGCCAGCTTTACCAGAGGAATGCTGAGGGAAGCGTGGAACAAAAAATCTAAGATGGATTCCTTTAGCATATTTTCATCCGTTCGGGAGTGTAGGTAGGTGAATATAGACGTATGAGGCTAATAATTTCATTTTCCACAGGGCTAACGTCAAACTGGAAGATCTGTTTGGGTATCGCGATACCAAGGATAAATATGCTACCGAGAAGATAATGAAACGCAAGGGATTCAAGGAAGCTATCATACAAATTGAATCTGCCTTGAATGGTGAAGACCCTAGCCCAATATTGGTAAGTAATAGTTGGGCACTTGCTTTCGACCTTTCTCCAAAAATAAGTGCGAGCAGGTCAGATTCCGAAAGTGAGGAAAGGCCTTCTCGGTTTTTCTCCGTTTCCGCATCTTATACTTGATAGAGAAGGGCTTTTCTCACTTTTGGAACCCGTTCTGCTAGGAGTTTCTTATGAAGCATTCAAAACGTCAAACATAACAGGGAATGTTTTTGCAGCTGTAATTAACAAAGTCGGGAATGTCGATGAAATGTTCATCTAGTATTGTGCTGCGGTTGTTTATAGAAGGTTTTTTGTTTCCTTAGCTCCAAAGCTCCCCTAAATAACATATGTAAATAGTTGAAACCGAAAATACCAACCCAATTAACCAGAAAAGTTCATGACTGATGCTTGATACATTTTTGAAATTTCGAAATCATAACTTTTTAGCGGAGTTATAAATATAATTTGCTAAACAAAAGGCCCTATCCGCTTTTGTAAATAAAAAAACGACCCTATCGCGCGAACCGAAGCTCGCCTACGAACACTATCGGGACGAAGAGAATTTTCAATGGCTCATGGTGTTGTTGATTTGCGTGATCGAGCTTCGGTTCACACGAAAAGGACATTACAAGGTTTTGTTTACAAAAGCTGATTGGCTCTTTTCAAATGTTGCGTGAGTTATGTACAATTTAATTTATTGTAATTGACTAGGCCCTGCGCGCTAAGATTCGATAAGCCTTAAATTATAGTTTACCCAGATAAAGCGAACAAACCTTAATATACGTAAATTTAAATCAATAAATCAAGAACAACATGTGAAAAGGGCATACAAGCTTTTTGTAAACAAACCTTCTTATGTCCTTTTCTCGCCATCCATATGACACCAACGCAAACCATCAACATCACAGGGTAGGAGATACTTTCCCCTTTCCGATGATGTGGTTGGTTTGCGTAGGCGACCCTTGGTTGGCGAGAAAAGAACCTACAAAGGTTTGTTTACAAAAAGCTTGTATGCCCTTTCCACATGTGGCTCTTGAAATGCATAAAACTTGACCATCTAAATTGATCAATTTATATGGTCAAGTTTTGAACCCACCACAGCATGCTTTTGGCGCTACTGTATATGGACGATCAAATGTAAAATACTGTGGTAGCCACAACATAGTTCTGTCAAAACCTCAGCATTTTCATTGATCCATTATAGGCCACTTCCATTTGATTATCACGCAGAACTGACTGAACCATAATAGCTGACCCTTAATATTAGGTGAATACCGCATCTGTTTTTTTTTTTTCATAGGGGAAATAGCTCTAATGTTGGCCTATGGATCTAAGATTGGGCCCATCGCTAAAAATCTTCTATTTATCAATTTTACCTATATGAACGCGTCATTGGGACGGTACTAATGGATATTTTTGGTCGCTATTGAAAATTTAGTCGATTGCTGAATTTATGTATGGGCCCAAATTAGGGACATTTAGACCGACATTACATCCATTTCCCCTAGTTTGTTTATTCGCCAAGGCTCATTCGCAGTAGATTTACGGAGCCGAAATTAGTAGAGCGGGGCCGATTGCTCGATGTTAGGGGTAACAAAACAATAGATAAACAGGTGGATGATTGGCTTAGAACTAAGAACACAAATGTTGGAGATGCACTGGGCAGTTAGACAAGTGCTCAGGATCTCGAACTAAGCGGGTGGACGATTGATGACAAAACTGTAAAGAAACAAAAAAAGACGATTATGGTAGAAAACCGATGGGGGCTGACACTTCATCTTGGAGGAACACTAACAACATATGTACTACTAGATCCTCAAATCGATCCGTTAAAATAAAACACGTAAATTAAATTCATGGCATTTTCACGAATTTCGTTTGCTTTCTGTGTGTTTTCTGTCTAAAACACTTTTTCGGTTGGGTAATAAAATTTCTTCGCGGTGGTGCCCAATAAATTGCTGAAAATTGTGAATAATTATGTTGTCGTGTTTTGCTTGCAGCGTTTTTGAACAAAATCGATCACTGATAGGAGTCCGCGAAAGGAATTGGCAGACCATAAATGTGGAGGTCCAATCGGTAAAACAACTGAAAAGAACATCAAGTGCCTGGAATAGTTTAGACAAATATTTCTATTTTTCCGTAGGATGTGTATAAGAGTTTGTCATTTATGACGCTGGGAGTTCAGCGTGAAGACGAAAAGTAGTGCTATAATCAGGGCCAAGCCAAATTTTGTGCAGGGGATTTCAGATCGTATTCCACGAAGCACTTAAATGCTTCGGCAAGCGACATGAGTATGAGTTTGCTTTGAGGTGTCGAGAAAATATGTGACGTGTCGTTGCTGTACGTTATGTGTCCTTTGGTCCTTTTGAGAGTGTTTCAAAGAAAATAGAAACCGCGATTGATCAGCTACACGGCAATGCTATGCAGTGTTTTGTTATATTCTAGTGCCAGTGTATTGCAACCGACAAAAAAATGTCAGATTAGAATAGATTAGATTTCTTTATTAAAGAGACTTTTAACGACAAGATTTCAGATGGAAAATAGGATTGTATTAAACATTGACGGCATATGGTGAGATTGTTTGATTATACTATGTTTTAGTTTTACATTTGATATACTATTAATTATCGGCTTTACTTCCCTTCCGAAGGAAGGCGTGATCAGAGATGTTATGCCTCAAAACATCCCGGCGGCGTCGACTGGGATTGATCCCAGGCCGGCTGGGGTGAGAGGTAATCACGCTTATCACACCACCGGCGCCGCTCGTTTTTAATAATCCAATATTGACAAGAAAAATGATGCGTTATCCAACCTAATCATTTTCCAAAATGTTTTCTCGCACTGGTTGCGTTTGGATTAGATTAGATAAATTCGAGACCTCGCCAAGACATCTCATACGGGTACCGCGGTTTGTTTTCCTCGCACCCTGAGGGATTCGGATAACTCAGATCTGACAACACGCAGAGACCAAAGAACATGCTCGAAATCGTGATAACCTTCACCACATGCGCCTAAATTGCTACCTGAGAGTCCAATTCGATCTTGATAGAAATGCGTGTCTAACGAACAGTGATTGGACATGATCCTTGACATAGCATGATCATGATTGACCGCCCGCGGATGTTACTTCGTTATTACCAGATCAGTTGTAATTCTACAGAGAACCAACAGATGATTCTTGGTACTAGCAATCATCCTCAATGTGTAAAAACTGGTGATAAAATTAGGCAATATCAGCGCCGGTCGGGTCCGAATGCAGGTCAAGAAGGATTGTGTAGGAATGTGTTGTTGTTGATTCTCGCTTTGTTGGAAACCGAGAAATCCTCTGCACTTCTACGAAAAATCACTGGACTGTTGGATAACGGTACGTTTATGCTTTGACAAACGGTACCGTAAAATACGGGGTATCTTTGATAATACGGGTAACTTTGATAGTAGAATATAATGATTAAATTTACACGTTGCACTATTTCAGAATTGGAAACATTGGTTTCATTTCGTAGCTTAGAACACGGTGAGCAAGCAATGTGATTATAAAACTCTTTTGTATGATGGGGCCACGATTTTCTGCTCAGTAAGCAAAAACGGCTGTCTGAGGCAGCCGAGCCAGATGCCAACACTGTCAGTGGTCCAAACATTTCTACTCGGGTATCGCAGTCGTCGTGACGTCAACCGTCAGGCAACCTCTGAGCTTAACCGTAGCAACGAAGTAAACATCGAAGCAAGCGGAAAGGTAAATGCTTCGAACGAATTTGATAGCAAAGATTACATCCTCAGAAGAAAAGTTTGTGTGTTTGCTCATTTTGCTATGCGTTGCTTCCACCTTCACAGAAAAAAAAGTTGTTGAATATTACATCCAAACTGCTGCAACCATCGGTTGTGCAATATAATGTTGTACGATGTACATCGATTTTGCGAACAAAATTACATCCATTGATGTAATATTGTATCTGCTTTTTGCTATTACATCATTATTTCATACATCAGCTTGAATTACATTGATTAATATTACATTTTTTTTTTGCTGTGTTCACTCAAGCGCAGCGCTATTGTATCTGTCGCTTGGATTCTGGCAAAGTTGCCAGTCTTCTTGATGAAGACATCATCGATAAGAGCCAATAAACGAACCAAACAAAAACCTAATTTTGTAGGATTTCAAATCAGAGGCTCTTTAAGATTTCAGATGAATAATAATAGAAATTTATAGAAATGCGCCAAATCTGTTTCTTGTAGTCTAACAGTTTTTAATCTAGTTTGTGAATGAATTGAATCCTTGTTTATATCAATGATTAAATCCAAGGAGAGCATCATGCATGCTCACAATAAAAAAAAAATACGGAGATCCTAATAATTCTTGATTTACAAGATCGATTAGATCCTTTTATACTCTTTGCTGACTGGTACCAATGGTACACATTGTTCAGCCATTTATCAACCACAAGTCATGCAATTCTGTTACTTCAAACACTTGACATCCCTTTAAGGAAACTTGTTTTTTTTTTCTGAACAGCGTAATATAAGTAATTGATAGCCACATAGCATTGGTTCTTAGCTGATTTGAGTGTCGTGCATTAATTCCGAATTTTGAATATCATTCCAGCTTACATCACAACCCTCAACGTCCGCTGAGCCATCCGGCGTCAAAGTTGAGGAATCCTTTAATGCGACCGAGGCAAGTAAAGTGAAATGTGCCGTATTGCCAATAAGTGACAAAACAAATCTTTTTAGTTATGCCCATATAAGAGCTTGGCTTAATATACGTTTGTTTTCTTATTCATAGACAAGTTTCAATGCATCTCGCATATCTGCTAATTCGACCACCATGCAGACCTCCATTAAATCCGACAAGGAGGACAATCAAAACGGCGATAAATCTTCTAGCAAATCGATACAGGAGGAAGACAAAAATTCAATAAAACAAGAAAATACCACAAACAGTGCTCCCGAAAACAACAAGAGCCCCACGGTGACTCCTAATGTGAAAGAAGAAAAACCTGAAAGTCCTGTTAAAGAGCAACAACCAGAGGTCGTCAGCAGAAGCGGACGTAAAATAAAGCCCAAACGGTTCCTGGATGGCGAGGAAGAGGAACTAGCTGCTTCACCACCGGCCAAGAAAAAGGTTCTAGCACCAAAAGTGAAAGTAGCCCCTTCGCCTGCTGTTGTTCCGCCAAAGAAGGCTAATCCATTCGGTAACTGTGCAAAGCACGTTTCTGCATGTGCATAGTTTAATTATATTGTTTAATTTTTAGATAAAATTGAAAGCGAACGTGTCTATTTTCTCAAGCTTGAGCGTGAACTTGTGGAGTTGAATTGGGAAATCAAGTCTTGTGTTGGTTTAGCATGCGCGGACCCTGAGCGATGCGTTGAGCTGATGGAGCAGTATCAAAGTAATATTTCTATCATTTCCTTACTATGTAAATTGTAAATATTCATTTGAGAAATTGTAGATCCCCCTTCATTTAAAACTTTATACATAGTTTATGGACAGTTCCTCAGATAATCAATGTTTTTATGTTATAGAACTGAAAGTGACACCGACCATGCTGAAAAAGAATCCAAACTGTGTGGAAACCATGAAGCGATTACGAAAATACGTTGGAAATACAAAAGCTTGGAATATGGCAGATGAAGAGCGGATTAGGTTCGACTTCTACGCCCAGCAGATACGTGTCAAGGCCGAACAGATCTACACCCAGTTCAAGGTTAGGACAATTTTAAGAGTATTTATAGCAACATTTTAGCAAATCATTACACATTTCTTTATCTTTCATTAGACCATGTTCCCAGTACCCGAGGGAGCCGTTATGTTCTGGGAGATTTTCTGCGAAGAATTGAGCAAGTTTGAGCAAGCCACGAAAAACTTAAGTCAAGAAGAACTTTTCCTTCTTGTGGACGAAGCAGGTGATTTGAAAAAAAATGATCGTACTGTTTCGAATGCATTTTGTAACCTTCAAATCAATTTCAGACATAAAGAACGATTCAGAAACAGACAAGAATAACGGAAGTGACATCAAGGAAGAAGGCAGTAGTGAAGATTCCGAACAGAACACGCAAAGTGACGAAACCGCGACGTAAATTTATTTTCAAAACTAAACAAAATACCGGTAAGATTTTTTATGAATTCACTCGAAAAAAGGAGGACCCCAATTTTATCTGCAGAAATTATTATTTCGATACTTTACAATGATCTACGCGCAGAATATATAAAACGATGCACAGTGCGCAGCAACTGACACAGAGTCGCATTTATTTCGTGCCGCTGAACAGTGGTCCAGAATGCAGAATTAGGTGGAAGGATATGTTTGAGCCTGAAATTGAAACTTTAGACAAAAAGTGTATTTTACAAAGTTGTTCCTTATAGTTAGGCCCTCATTTTTATGATAATGAATAAACTATTTTTTCCCCAACCAGAGGTATTAACATTTGAACAGGGCATATTTTTAGTAGAAAAACCTCGATAACTCTTGATATCTATAAGCTCTGTGCAGCAACTAGGGCAAAACAACTGTTTTTTTTAAAGTCACCCTAACTCAATTCAAGGAAATAGCTCTAAATCGATCGAATTGATAAAAAGATACAAACAAGTTCTTTTTTACAAAGTTGCTTGAAATTAGCTATAACTTTGCAGAATAATGTATACATTAATTCCTTTAAACAAAAAAGTCGATAGTGGGCCTAACTATAAGGAAAAACTTTGTAGAATATACTTTTTGTCTAAAATTTCATTTTCAGGCTCAAACCGTATCCTTCCACCTAAATCTGCATTTTGGACCACTGTGCACTGGTTTCAAGAGGTATGAGATACCTGTTCTTATACAAAACAATCCGGGGAATCGAATGCCACTGGTTTTGTCAGCTTCTCCCCATTTTCTGTTGAAATTAGAAGTTATTTGGTTTTATATGCGACTGAAGGTTATCTACAGCGATAAAATACAGTGGATGATATGGTAGGAAGCCAAGAAAATCAATAACAACTAAAAAGATAGATTTGCAAACTGCCGCTAGATTTTAGACATAAAACACATACCTAGTTTCTTATGTAAAAAAAAGTCCAACGAATCGATTGGAGCATGTATCGGTTAGCAGGCATGGAAAATCATTTGCATTCATTTCGTGCATTCATTTACATTCATTTGCCTCTAACTTTTTTCTTCAACAGCATTCCGCAAAATGATGTATAGAGCTTTTGTAGGTTTTGTTATTAGCTACTAACAGTTGTTAGCTGTTAACAAGTATCTCTTATGCATGACGAAGCAGAGCGAACAGAAGCCACCACTGTTTTTCAGTGAATGTATTTTACATTCACTGAAAAACAGTAACAAGTTCTGCCCGCTCTAGTTCGTGATGCATAAGAGATACAGATTTGAGTTGTGAGCAAAATATGTAGCTATTTAATAACAAAACCTACAGAAGCTCTATACATCATTTTGCGGAATGCTGTTGATGAAAAAAGTTAGAGGCAAATGAATGTAAACGAATGTATGAAATTAATGCAAATGATTTTCCATGCCTGTCGGTTAGTGTAGAGTTTGGGAAGTGGACAAAACCAGCGGCATTCGATTCCCCGGATTTGTTTACATAACGATGGGTATCTCACACCTCTTGAAACCAGCGGTACGAAATAAGTGCGACTCTGGGTCAGTTTTTGCCCACTGTGCGATGGCTTTTCGTTCTTTAATAAATTATCAGATGCGCTGGACAACAAAATTATAATTTCACAAAAAAGTTTACGATTTGTATTTTTTAAAACAATCATATTTTGTTTTGATAAATAGACTTACATCGGTAACCAACAAGGATTAGTAATTCGAAAAGAACACATGTGGGTTACAGCTCCCATCCAGAAGCTAAAATCTGAGATCGAAGTGACATTGAGCTTAATTTACTACGACTCTAATGGGATATTACGGAATGAATAATCTAGTTAACTTGTAGAAAATCAGAGCAGTTGCTTCGATTCGGGATTTTAGTGATAGATACTAGTTACACTAAGAGAAACCACTTATATTTTAAATTATCGTCTTATCTATAAAAGTATGAATGCAATAAGTGGTTCACGAAGAGTCATAGTTATCTGCGCTATAAATCTATAATTTTGTAAATTTAATATAAAACTCAATACATGCAGTTCTGTTTTTACGTGATTTACATTTTTTTTGCCTTTCTCCTCATAAAGGATGAGTACAGCATTTTCAATACTACCATACTTTTCGTTGTTTTTTTAAACAAGTTGCAATCCGAAATCATAAGATTAAAAAAAGACCGAAAAAATAATCTCGTAAAAAAAGAATTAATTGTATAATCAGTTATTAGTTTTCAAACGATGGACAATTATTTATTCCGAAAGTTCAACCAGGTTTGCATACACATCGTGCTGTGGAAGTCGTCATTTCGTTTATAATTTCGCTTTTTCCTCTGCCAATTTAAATGTTGTTTAGACTCCAGTTTTACTGATTTTTCAGTATAGTCAGGGTGTCGTCCACTCAGTCGAAAAAATCGGAATGTGGAATTGATTGTACGACTTTTCCCCGAATAGAACAGCTCCCCGAAAATAATTTCCCGAATGTACCATTTTCCCGAAAAATTATACCATGTTTCAGGAAATATCAAAACCTCGAAAATCGATTGTACGCAGTAGAAGTTCAATTTGAACTAATCTGGGAATCTTTACTGGTTAACTACTTGTATCGAACAATACCATAATACACATATTAATGTGTGTTGAATAAAGACAATAGTTTGACTTTCGTTAAAGCTACATGTGAAGTTCAAAAGTTCCTTAAATCGGTAATCTTTATTCAACATACATTGAATTCTTCGTGCTCAGTACAATTTTAGATTCGGCCTATAAGAAGTCACCGGTTCTATAACAGTCCCCAGAATACCATTCCCCCGAAAACCATTCCCCAGAAAAGCATTCCCCAGAATGTACCATTCCCCAGAAAAGTATGCCATGTATTAGATTGACTATTTTTCTTTATTATAGTCGCTCCTGGAATCTTCTTTCGCGTATATAAAAAGAAGAGAAAAACTTCTTAATGGGTCAAGGGGTTTTAGGATACCTTAATGGATCAAGGGGGTTTTCCTTCTTTGAAAATATAAGAAAAGGAAATAATTAATTCTTTGGATATACAATAAAGAAGGGAATATTCCCTTCTTTGAATATATAAAAGAGAACATCATTAATTCGTTAAATATATACTAAAGATGGGAATATTCTTTTCTTTGAAAATTTAAGAAAAAGAAATCATTAATTCTTTGGATATACGATAAAGAATGGAATATTCCCTACTTTAAATATGTAAATAATATGAAAAAGAAGGGAACATTCCCTTCTTTGAAAATATAACAAAAGGAAATAATTGGATATAGGACAAAGAAGGAAATGTTCCCTTCTTTGAATATATAGAAGAGAACATTATTAATTCGTTTAATATATGATGAAGAAGGGAATATTCCCTTCTTCGAAAATATAACAAAAGGAAATAATTAATTCTTTGGATATACGATAAAGAAGGAAATGTTCCTTTCTATTCATATATGAGGAAAATATATAATCAATAGCTTTTCGCAAGGGATTCGGGGTATTGACTATATGTGATAATAACGTGTGGAATTATGTTATAAATTTGTAATCGGTAGTTCTGTAATACTGATATATAATATCAAATGACCAAAAAAAGTGATAAATTACTAATTGCATCATCTTTTCTGGGGAATGGTACATTGTGGGGAATGCTTTTCTGGGGAATGTTATAGAACCGGAGTCACCATGTAGCTAGTATGTATGTCATGGGGACGCATGGTATCGTTTATTTATTTGTATAGAGTTTAACGTTCGTACCTATCCAACACATACACAAACACATTGTATGTAATTAGCTCCATGGAACATACCAAATTATACGTCAAACAATGAACTAAGATAAAAAGAAGGAAAAATTCTTGCAACAAACCAAATTTTCCCTTCTTTGTACACAGTTCGTTCTTTAACGTGTTAAATAAATATCTAACTAATTTATCAAAGCGATATCTCATCGTAATAAAATTGAAAAAGCCGTGGTCCTGGGTTCTCAATGTGACAACCAATGAGCTTGTTTTAGTGTTCTCATGATATTTTATGTTCGCATCAGGCCATTAGAGTCACATTAGGCCTCTGCGTGGAGAGTGGAAGACTGCCGTTTGAAAAATACATAGTTGCAACGGGTTGCAAGAACGCGGTTGGCTTTGCAGAAAATACAAGTGGGACCAGTGAAGTCGTGTCCCACCTCATGGAGGCGAACCATCTTATGAAGAATACCGCCGACCTGGAGCTCCCCCCGAAGGTAGGGTCCACTGGTGTGGCCAGAGGTTGGAACTCACCCGGACCTTCCAACGATCCAACGATAAAGAACAGTTTCCGGGCGGGAACCAACTGCCCATGCATTAGTGAGATCAGTAGCCGAATTACATAGAACCAAATACAATAATCTTCATCAAGCACAATACACCGACGGATCACGAAGCGGTGGTATAGTCGGTATTGGAATTTCCGTTGAAGCAGCCGCCATTCTTGTTGCTGCCACGTTGCCATATTATTCGATTCTGCCAGTGTTTTAGTAGCTTCTCAGTCTCAAACCACTAAACACCCCTGGATTCAGGACATCCAGCAGTTCGCTCGCTCCTAAGAAAACAGCCTTCGTCTGGGTCCCCGGACACTGTGCGATCAGAGGTAATGAGGAAGCCGACCATCTGAGCTTCATCTTGTACAAAGTATGAGTTTCATCTCGTACAAAGTCGGAATGGATCCCAAACTACGCGAAGCTGCTCTTAGATCGGATACATGGCCGAAAGGAATTTTGTTCCGTGAATTTGAAGACGGTTCAAAAAACATGTGGTTGCCTCGTTTGAACACGCTTACCATCACGATCTCTCCTATTCCGGGACCTTCCGAGTTCTCAACTCCCATTTCCGGACTAGACCCAGTCTGCTGATTCAGAATTGGATTTTGCGTTGTGAATTAGAGCGCTGTAGAGCAGAACGCACTGCCTGTCGCATTATGGGAGATCTCGAACCACTCGATCCAGTCGCGCTAGCTATTTCGCGCCATCAAAGTCGTTCTATTTCCTGCCATCAAAGTCGTTCTGGCCCTGCGGTCGAGTTTGGTGGTGGGGTCTCCCAAGCATCGTCTTCAGGGAAGTATGCAGACATTAGTTACAGTCATTTGTCTGATCAGTTTCCGTGTTACTGTGTAACGCTTCAAGCACCTGTCGGCTGTTTCCAGTTGAGAAGCACTTATGACCGCCTTTTGGAAGCTCCTAGTTCCTTCAGCCCAGTCGTGCCGATTCCTGCCAGCACTCAGCATAGTCGTCCTGGCCCTGTGACTGGATATGAATCAGGAGTCTTCCAGCTTGCTTCTACAGACAAGCACAATCAATATATTGACAATTCACTGCCTGATGCCGATCAAATTTTCAGCAATTCGGACTATGTTAGTCATTGTGATGATGCCTCTATAACACCCAATCCTGGGAACCCGGAACGCACCGTAGAAAGACTCTTGGAAGCCCCCAATCCCTCCGTCTCAGTCCTGCCATCAACAGCCTTTGTTCGCCATAGTCGTTCTGGATCTGCTGTCGGATGTGGCGAGTATTCAATCAGACTCGATGATGGTCAGTTATTGCCTGATGTATCTGTGATTTCCAGTAAATCTGTTGGTGGAGGAGTCCTTGTAGCTGTCCGTAGCGGGTTGGAGGCAATGGCCATCGAGAACGATTCATGGAACAATGTTGAGCAGGTACTCCCGAATCACAAACGAAGTGACAGACGACTAACTGGCGAAGAAATCAATTAAAATAATGTGGTTCGCTGTAATAGAATTTTCTTAGAAGCTTGTGCCATCATCAACCAGATGGGATAGTATTTTTGTTTTGGTTTTGCACAAAGTTGATTTTGTGTACAATGATCTTTGACAGTGTGCAAAGAGTGTATCATTTTGTCATTTTTTATGCATTTCAGTTTTGAGTAGAGTGAAAGAGATAGAACCAAAACATTCTAGTACATTTGGTGAAAATGCTAGTTCAATCCAGTAGTAGTGTTGCCATGTGGTACAATCCAGTAGTAGTGGTGTTGCCATGTGGTACACTGAAAAATTGCAATAGCAGGTTAGTCACCAAAGTTTTCGAGCCGCTCCGTCTGTCACTTCGTTTGTGCTATTACTGGCAAGTATATTGACGATTCAGTCTCTCCTTATGCCGCCACCTGCTCTTCGTCGGATTTGGGACACCCTAAAACAAGCACTGAGGATGTTTCCGAACCTCCCGACCCAGTCGCGCTTGTTGCAGACATCCGCCATCGTCATCATCCCGGTCCTGTGGTCGGTGATGGTATCGGGGGCTTCCGGCCTGCAACCTCAGGCGATTATGTTAGCGATTCCGAGCTTTCGGTACCTGATGTCCTTTCGATTTCTAGTTCCCGTGATTGCTCTTTTAATGGTCTCCGGACCTACTACCAAAACGTGCGTGGGCTGAGGATTAAAATCGACTCGTTTTACCAGGCTGTTGCGGAGGCCGAATATGATTTGATTGTGCTGACGGAAACGGGTTCACACAAGTGAATACTTTACGGGTTCACACAAGTGAATACTTTTTCCGAACCGAAATGTTCGTTTACTAGATCTTGTCCTGGCAAATGATTCCGCACTAACGGGCACTTCTGTTTCCTTGCCGGTCGAGCCACTGATTGATCTAGATGCCGATCATCCCGCTCTCGTCGTGTCATTTAGTTTACCTACGCCGATTCTTTTTACGCCGTCATCTGAGTGCTACTCTTTGGACTTTCGCCGGACCGATTATGTTGCATTGAACAATGCGCTTGCGGAAATTGATTGACAATTTATCGAAACAACCGCTAGCGTGAATGATACTGTGGATTTTATCAGTGCTGCACTGGAAGATGCTATTTTCCGCATTGTCCCAGCTCGACGACCTCCGCTAAAGCCTGCATGGTCTAACCCACACCTATGCGTGCTAAAACGTCAACGCTCTGCCGCCCTCCTAAAGTATTGTAACTCTCGCTCGCCGTACTACAAACGACTGTTCAATTTTGCGCGTCGTAGTTATCGAAATTACAATCGTTTTCTCTATAATCGACAAGTGAGACGCACAGAAGCGAACCTTTGCACGAATCCGAAAAGTTTTTGGTCGTTTGTCAACTCCAAACGGAAGG